TGTGCCTTGAACTGCTGCTGTGTGTAATATTCTCAAAAAGACAAAAAACCTATGCATCATTTCTCATGAAAAGTACTGAAAGCAGATCAACTACACAATAGCAGCGAACCATCAACAGGAAGCATCTGCTGACGAGCTTTCTTTCGAGGGTTACTTGAAAGCAAACCAACGGCAGCTTTTCCTTCTTAATGTGCACCAATGCCAAATTATCATCAAAATGAATCAATAAATCTTCAACAACAGAATCGAATCACTGAATTGGAGAAAAGCGATTAGCCGCCACATCGAGCTTACTTGTAAAATGTACTTACCTGTCCTCAAATATAATAAAGTCGAGATTATTTGCCAAGACAGTAAGTCGCTGAACGAAACTGTCGTTGAATTCTTCCATAATATCGGCATGTAATTTCACAGCACAAATGTAATCACCAGTCTTTTCAGCAATTTGTAAGACCTCATCACAACTCGTATTGTCGATGGCTAGACAAAGGCATGTCTTCTTCTGAAAACTGACAGAATTTTACCAAAATGCAGACAAAAGCTGGAGTTGCCTGGCAACCAAACAACATACCCTGCTCATAATTTCCAGCATTTTTTTGTTGAATGCGTTCGTTGTCGATTCTCTTCGAGCATGCAACGACCATTCCATATTGTAGCGCACGTTCTCAATCGTTGATGGCGGCGGTAAACTTAACTGATACAAAATGTCCTCTTTTCCTTTCGGTGTAATAGTACCAATGTCAATAAGGAAATCGAGTATAAGATTCATCGTCAGCAAACTGCAGCAACAACCCACGTGTAAAGCAATTTTTTACAAAAAACAATCTATATTTTAGGGGAAGAAAAGATATCAATAATTTACTGTGATGCAGCCAGGAGATCAGCCGAACCCATGCACTCCTCACTGTGATACTGATAACAGTAGCTCATTCACTTCCATTCCGCCACCACTGAAGCAGCTGGCAATGTTTTCTTTCGCATCAGTTTTAAGCTGGCAGCACTTAACGCCCAGCAGTTTCCTTTTTCCTGACCACCTTTTTTGGCGCTGGGCTGCACACACCGCGTGCACACACCATTCAGCAGTTCTCATCATACGCTTTCGTAGTCGCTACAGAGAGAGAGAGAGAGAAACAGCCCGATTCCTTTACCAAGCTCGCATTGCTTTCAGAAGCAATGCGAGCTACACTGCAATCCTTCACGGAAAATATACCGTTACCTACTGAAGTTTACTATGCGCGAAAGCATAGAACGAAAAATCAACCCTCTCCATATTTCCCATCCATACGGTTGTGCTGACGTTCACACACACCATACTTGCAGCACTACGCAAAAAATGCTTTGTAAATTGACGACAGCAAGACTGCCCATTCTGCTCGTTCCATCTGCCAAGTGCTATGCCCAGATCGTTGCCCTCTTCTTTATCATTTACTCATATGCACTAATTGATTTCAACATTTCCGAACCGCAGAACGCGCCGTTTTTTTTTTCATCCACCTTGTTTTCTTCTCGGCTCATTTACAGCACAGTCCCCCCAGCCCCACTGGTAGCGGACCTCATTTGACATATTCTGTAACGATTGCGATCCTACTGCAATTAGCATTTCAAGTGCTTCACCGTCAACGGTAAATCACACTGCCACTTTCGTTTTCTTAATTTTCAGTGCACAGGTGAAGGCTTCCGGGAAGCGCATGTGATCTCCCACCATGTCCATACTAATTTTCATTTTTATGAGATCACCAAATAAACTGATTTTCACATGTGGCTTGATTGGCGATTTTCACGTTTCCGATGATTGGAATCATGGCCCACCCGACCTCTGGTCCACAAAAGTAAGCAGTACAGCGGAATCAATGGCCTTTTTTAAAATAAGCATAACGGATTGTAATGTCTACACTGCTTAACCAGAAATGCTGCTGTGAAAACGGGGCCAATGATTGAAAAGCACGCTCAAATGTCATTTGTTTCGTCCTCCGATTTCTACTAAGAATCACCTCAGCGCAGTTCCCATGCCGCAAAAATGGAGAAGACCGCAGCAAAAGACCAGTGTGAAATGCGTTTTTGCTGCCAAATTACGCGGAGCAGAACAAATCTGCGTAGATTAAAATCCGGTTTTGTGCTCTAAGATAATAACTGGTAGCTGTAAACAAAAAGATTTTGAGTTTCTGGCCTACTGCCTCTCAACTACAGCGTGAGGCCAAATTTGGAGCCGAAGCTGCAGTTAATTTCTTCCCCCACCTCGATTCGCTGAAAATTAAACTTGCTAAATTTTAAATTTGTATTCTGCTCGTTTTCTGGAGACACATTACCAGGGGGTGAATTTGCTAACTAATGGCAGCTTTCTAAACCAGAATATAGTCAAATATAATTAATTACAAGTTTTCACCTTTCTGGCCTAACTTGCATCACCAAATAGTGATTGTTATCC